CGGCTCCCGGTAAACACGTTCCCACCCTGCGGAACCCCTGGCAGGGCCCTCAGGTAGGAGGGGGCACAGGGAAGACCCCCAGACAGGGCCAATAGCAGAGGTCCTGCTTAGAGGAAGGAGCGCTGCTCTCGGGACCCTGGCCTGGCTCCTTCCCAGGAAAGGGGCTCGGGCTTTGCCTGCACACCGCCCCCAGTGCCCTTGGCGCAGCCTCCGGGTTGCTCCATGCACATGGATTGGGACAAAGCGGAGCCAGGGCTGGGCTTGCCAACAGGATACCCGGTGACCCCAGCACTGGCCCTGCTCCCGGAGGACATTGTGCAGGCCAGGCCATGTCCAAACCAAACGTGCCAACAGCCCCTGCCATGGTTGTGCCTCCCGAAGACGTGCGAGATCCCGGCCACATCCTGCCCATGGAGCAGGCAAGGAGCGTCCCCTTCAACAAGGGACCCGGCATCACCTGTCCCGGGCTCTGACCTCCGGGGAACAGGAGGCCCAAACCTCAGTGACCGGGGGGGATACAGGGATGGGGCGCCCACCAACCTGCTCAGCCCAGGCCCGAGGGCCGGTCGCTCCGCGGTGACAGGAGCCGCGAGGCTGCGCGTGGGCCAGCACGGGCACTCGACAGGACAGCGAGCTGCCTAGGACCATGGAAACACCCCGAATTCCTACAAGCCTTCCTGCCTTCTTGAAAGGCAGGAGCCCTTTGCTCAAAGCCGTTGTATTTAACCAGCAGAGCCTCCTTAGGGGTCTTCCTCCACCGCCCGCGGCACCAGCGGCCTGGCGAGGATGAGGGCTCAGCTCCACGCTCCAGCACAGACCCTGCTGCAACCCCGTGCTGCCACCTCTCTCCTGTGCACCGCGTCCCTGCTGGGGAGCAAGGGACATCACCCGCCTGTGCTACACGGCACAGAGCCGCAAGATGTTTTGGATAAGGAGCCCTGTGTCATCGCATCCCAGCTCCTGCCCTTGGACCCAGTCCTGCCGATTCCTGGAGGAGACTCCCCACACAGAACCAGAGGCACCTTTGTTCCAACGCCGCAGCTCTCATCAAAACCCAGCGCTTTCTCCTTCACTGCCACCACATCCTGGGCACCCGCTAAGCCGGCCCAAGAGGAATCACCCTCCTTGGGTGCAGGAAGCAGCGGGACACGAGCATCTCCTGGGGACGGGTCTCTGGGTCTCCACTGCAGCTTCCCCAGCCCGGCGGGACCCCTCTCCAAGCCACCCACCCCAGCAGCGGCTCCTCACCCTGCAGGAGCCTCCCTGGGCCCCCGTGAGCTGTGGAACGAGCAGAGCGAGGCCCTGCCGCCGAGCTCACGTCCCCCGCCGCCTCCAGCACCCCGAACGTCCCCCGCGCTTGGTGCACATCCAGCCTCCCCTCCCCAGCGCCCTGAAACAAGACGGGGGCCCTGGGCACCCTGCCCCACACCGAGCGCTGCGAGGAGGCGCTCCCGGCCTCCCCGGGCCGCTTTGCAAGGCCTGAGTTTCAGGAAACACCCTGCAGCCCTGCAAGCAGCAACAGGCCCGCAGGCAGGCGGGCCGGGCTGCGGGGTTGCTCAATGACTGACAGAGAAACAAAACCTGCCAGGACCCGGGGCCAGCAAATTCACACGCCTCCCGAAATCCGTCACACGCATCCTGCCCGGACACAAAGGACATGCAAAGCAGCCGCGCTGCAGCATACGCATCACGTAGCGCTCCGCTGGAGACGCTTTTCATGCGGCCCATTCCCTCCGGCTCAAGAGAATATTCAATTCATTTCCTAGCTAAACTCCAGCTGCCCGGCTGCAATGCTCCCAAATGCGGGATCGCCTCCCCAGATTACCCCAACGCCCTGGCCCTAGGATGCTCACTTGCATTTTTCTGCGGGAAGGAGGATATTGCTTACGCTAATGGCTCTAATTTAGCACTGATTTGCAAGCCCAGGGGCACCCAGCAGCTTGGCCGCAGTGACAGCTCCCTGCCCACGGAAGGGCCGCGGCAGCCGGGCCCGTCTCGGGCGCCGCTCCCGCAGCCGCCAACGGCTTTTTGGTTTTC